TGTGTATGTATTGCATTAGGATTTTGTATATAGGATCATGCATATTTTACTAACTTTGTTTTGTAGCTATTTGCGGGATGTCGATAAATATGTAAGTTGTTATGTTTTAGCATCCCGCTTGTATAGAATTTTCTTATTATCACTACAGCAATTTACACTTTTAGCGACTAAATTTGGTGACTAAACTTTTTTTAGTAGCCAAAAGTTGTAGAATAGGCGACTAAAAATTACATTGGTCGCCATTGAATATGGTTTTTAGCTACTGGTTTTTTTTAGTAGTTGTATCTTAATTATTGGCGACTAAAAGAAAATTAGTCGCTAAATATGTGACAATAGGCGACTAAAAATTGTTTTAGTCGGCATTAGATCACATTTTAGGCTACTAAAATTTTTGTTAGTCGTGATATACTAGTTTTTGGCTACTAAAATAAAGTTAGTCGCCAAAAGGTTAGCATAATGTTTGCTATTAAACTTTGGCGACCAAAGTGTTGGTCGGCAAATATTCATTTTCGGTGACTAAAAAAATTTTAGTCGCTATAAGGTAATTTTTGCCTACTAAAATAATTTAGTCACTAAATAAAAAGTTTAAATTTTACTTTTATCTCTGGTGACAAAAAAATTGGTCACTGAATATTTCTTTTTGGTGACTAAAATACCTTTAGTCGCCAAAATGGTTACTTTTGGTGAGTAAAATATTAGCCACTGTTAATTAAATGTTTGGCTACTAAACAAATTAGTCATTGCAAATTAGCCTTTGGCGACAAAAAACAAGTTTAGTCGCTAAATGTATATAAAATTTTAGTGGGAAACCTTAAATGTTGGCGCCCAGTTCTTCACAATATTTTCGAACAGGGGTTCTTCTCTTCTTTCTCTCTCTCTCTCTCTTCCCCCTCTTTTATCTCTCTATCAATGTCTACACTACCTACACCCAAACAAAAGCCTACAGTCACTTGCTCTCCCTCTTCTCACAGACTTACCATCCCTATTAACAGCCATTACTGCTAACCATTGCGACTCGCGCTACCGTTGGTCACCATCGCGGCTTCCTCCTCTCAACCACATTTAGGTTTTTCTCTCTATCCCTCTCTTTCTTTCTCTCTCCGCCTTCCCTTATCATCGCGGATCTAGGGCTTGATTTTATTTTTGATGTTGTAGGATTTTGATAAAATCATTTTAGGGCTTTAATCTTTTTCTACATTTGAGGCAGATATGAGCTCCAAGTTATGTTTAATTCCACACTTTTGTTGCTCCAAGTGGTAAATTCGATCATTGTGTACATTATGACTCATGATCTGTATTATGCTCCATTGTTCCATACATATATATATATATATATATATCTGTAGTTCGGTGGTTACACTGGCTCTGAAGATATACATAAACACGCAATCACAAGCCCCTGATTTTTTCTCCTTTTGTTGATCAAGCTCATACTGTAAGTCTTTCCAATCACTCCATATATTCATTCATTTAGGGATCAGATCTAGTACTTTGAATGAATGGCTAAAATGTACTAATTTTAATTTTTTTTTTTCATTGTCTGGTTTAATTTGAAAAATTGAGTTCGTTTCACTCTCGAATTCGTGCTCTTCTCGAGCATATCTAGAATAAGTCATGACGTTTTTTGTAATTTATTTTAGATTTTCTTTTGTAATTTTCTTTTTTCATTTGCCGTGAAATTTAGGTTTTTTTTTAATTAATTAATGTATTTATTTTTTATGCATTGTTGCTAGATTGAAATGAAGGTGTTGTGATTGGAGAAAAGAAATAGAGAAGATGACTAAGAGCAAGAGGTTTCAGCTCGGGACCGTTGGCGCGCTGAGTCTATCAGTGGTTTCGTCAATTTCAATTGTGATCTGCAATAAGGCCCTTATTACCACATTAGGTTTTAATTTTGGTGAGTTGCTTACAATCAATTGCTTACATTATGTTTTATATATATTTTTATTTATTGTATTTACTATAAATTCAATGAAGTGCACCATATGAGAACTGTATCTTCCAAAGCCATAACTGAACCATTCAGTTGGGGAGCTATGTAACCAATATATGAAGTACATGGAAAAATTCTCAAACAAAGGGTTCAATCTTGCTATTGACCAATACCAAAAAAAATAAAAAATAAAAAATAAAAAATAAAAAATAAAAAAAAAATAAAGAAGAAGAAGAAGAAGAAGAAGAAAGGAAAATTAGTGAAAATTCCTAGTGAAAATTAGGGAAAATTAGAATATTAGGAGATGAATTCCTTTTTTTTTTTTTAATTTTAACAATTTGTAATGAATATTTTACCCTTAATTTAAAATGATATTTATGTCATTGTATTTATTGTATACCAGTGTTATTAAAGGCGTGCCTAGGATATATATATATATATTTTGACACAGGTAGACATCAGTTAGTAATATTAGTCGTTAGTTTTGGGTGATTTCAGCAGTTCCATTTTATTGTGCAACATGGGAGTAGTAAGTGGTCCAACTAATACTATTTCATTACATTTTGGCTTATCACAGACTTTGATGATTCATTCTTGCATAGAAGTCATTTTGTTACCCCTCCATTTCTAAAGGAATTGCAAAGGAATATGGATTTTGTATAATTGTCAGTTTTCAAATGATTCCTTAATACATGAAAAGGTGAACATGTTTACAGCATGAATAAGGCAATGTATTGTGTGCATTGCCTCTTCAGGGGGCTATAAATGATTTGGTTTAGTAGTTATGTTCTGAAGGCGTAAATTTGAATTCCTTCAATGGAACCCATTTAGATTTTTCTAGTATTTGAAGGAACCCATTTAGATTGTTCTAGTATTTGATGATGGAAAATTTGCTTTCTGGCATTGACGCTGTTGCTTTTGATTCAACTTATGATTGTAACATTTTGCTTTCAGTTTATTGATTTCTTTCAATGAGAAGCCATTTATTTTATTGTTATTAATATTTTTCTCGTTGTTAGCTATTTCATCAATACCCTTATTCTGCCTACAATAAATGGGCCTATGGAGGGTCTAATGCTAATATATATGTGGTCCATTTCTTTACAGCTATAGTTTGTATGACCCTTTTGTATATATATATACATTGATAAGTAGCCCTTTTACATATTTAAGGCACTCATTATAGACATAAATATTTTAACCAATTAATAGGTTTCAAAAAAACTCATTCATTGATTAGGTTTTTATTCTTTTAGCTGTATTTCACTATATTATTAATTTTGTCTCTTTTTCAGTGATGGGCTCAACAATTTGGAAAGTCTTTGCCATTTTTGAGTTGGGTTCCAGTGATAAATGGTATGACTCATGGATAGAATAGGATGTCTAGAAACACATAGACAACTAAAAATTTACTCATGGCTAGAACATGGTAATTTTAAGTGTGCTTTCTATGGAGGGAAGTGTTCATGATTTGTCAAATCATATTACTTCAGAACTCCTTTGAAACGAATAACTCAACCAATTAAATTTTGTACGTATGATTTAAACTAGAATGAAGGAATAATGGGCTTTCATACTAGAATGGGCTTCTCTAGGTTCATCTCTCTCTCTCTCTCTCGCTTGCATGGTTTGCTATTTGCTTGCCATACATTGTTGGTTGTTGAGTCTACTAACTTAAAACTTTTTGGGAATAGAGCTCTACTTCTATGAGCTTCTATTTGCACACTAGTCTTTTTTTTCTTTTTTCTTTTTTTTTTTTGTTGCTCAGTTCTCATTACTTTGTCAATTGTTAAAAAAAATTCATGGTTTGAATTCAGTAGTTAATATACGAATAATGGATTTTCGTTTAGTTGATACTCGAAAGAGAAACTGGTGTGAACTGAAAAGTTTTATGGCCTATTCGTGTCTTGTCGTTCTAGTATCTTTCTCATTATGCACTCTATTTTATTTGTCTTCATGCATTGTGTACTCTATTTTACTTCTCATTGTGCATCTTGTTTTTGCGGTCTATTTGTCTCTCCATGTGCAACAAAGTTACACATAAGGAAAAGTATTAACTTGATATATATATTGTTGGATTTATTTCTAATACCTTAAGCTTTTTGGATAATTATTTCCTAATACCTTGGTCCTAGATTAATTGGCTCGGATATTGAGTTATAAAAAATAAAAAAAAAAAGTTTCCTTGAGATGAGGCTTTATTTGGGATTTTTGTGTGTGTGTGTGTGTGTGTGTGTGTGTGTGTGTGTATTAATTTGGGAATTGGGTTTTAATTTGTTGTGATTTTGGAAGGTATGTTGCTAAGGGAAATGGCATATTGCAACATCATCAACTGATTGATGAGTTTGAGAATGTTGTTGGAGAAGATGGAGTTATGTAGGAGCTCAAAGAGTCTTTTTAGCCAAATTCTGAAGTTTGCACGGGGAAGTGCGGCACTAACGGTAAAGGTTACAACCTAACAGGACCATTTGAAGGACTCATGGAAATTGAATTACTAAAAAAAATAAATTAAATTGATATTTGTTTTTGGTATTCCAATCTAATAATTGTTTCTAGCAACTATAATGCGAAAAAAACATGAAAATATATATATGTATATATAATTTTTCCAGAAAATGAAAAAAATGCAGTATTGATAGTATTACATTCATTGTCAATTCTGTGAAATTTTTCTATGTATATAGCATTACACAATAATGTTGCCTTTTGTCACATCATCAACTAATCTTGTCTTTATGGCTGTGTCTGCATATGTATTTGCATGTGTATATATAATTTGTATGTTTTTTTTTCTTTAATTGGTGCATTCTCCGAAATACCCCTTAATGCCCTACCCCTTCCAAATCCATCCAAACACCCATGCCCCTACCAGGGCTTGAATCCCCAATCTTCGCTGTGGAAGTGTTAGGGTGATGTCACTAGGCCACAAGGCCATCGACCATATTTATGTGTGTACATATATATAAGAAACCAAATTACTTCACTTTTCATTTTAATAAATTGTTCTGAAGCTTAGAGACTTGTTTTATATCTTAGTTTCTTCGATTTGTTTTGATTTTTAGACTTGTTTTATATCTTAGTTTCTTCGATTTGTTTTGATTTTTATTTCATGCAACTGAATGTCAAGGATAGGGAACCATTTTATTTGGGAAACATCATCCACAAAAAGTCTAGTTATGTAGATGATCGCCATTGAAATTAACATCTCTTAGTTAATATTTAGCATGAGAAGATGATTTGTTTAGTAGCATAAACTGAGTCTGTTAATGCACATAGAAAATAAGCCCATGCTCGTTTAAATGTCAGCATTTTACTTTTCCAGTAAATAATCTTATTTCTATTTTTGGTGCTGATTTTGTGTACCAACTGCATTATGCTTCTAGTTTCACAATCATATTCTTGGGAAGCCTTTTAGAACAGTGGCACAATATATGAATTCTTTTTCTGTTTATATTTTGTTTAGATTCTTTTTGCTTGCACACTTGATTAATACATCACAATTGCAGGAAGCTATAGTTCTACCCCCATTTGTGGCAATAGCAATTCGCCCAAGACCTGGTGTTTGGGAATATGTTCGTGTCAATGTGTATGAACTGTGTGTGGAACAATTAAGTGTTTCAGAATATCTTCGCTTCAAAGAGAACTTGTGGGTGGAGAGTAAGGAACCTCCCTTGAAATTTTTTAATCATTATTAATCTATCCCTTTGCATATTTATTTAATTCATCACAAGTTTAATTGGAATCTAGAATTTGGAACCTGGTCTAGGTACAATGAAAATTTTGTGCTGGAACTTGATTTCGAGCCATTCAATGCAACATTTCCTAGACCAACTCGGTTATCTTCCATTGGCAATGGGGTTCAATTTCTCAATCATCACCTGTCTTCAATCATGTTCCGTAATAAGAAAGTTTGGAGCCTTTGCTTCATTTTCTTCGCACCGACAAACATAATGGTCTTGTAAGTCTTCTTAACTTTTGGCATTGACATTGTTTTGACAATCAATTTCTTGGGTGTTATCTAAAATAAAAAAAATAAAAAAATCTAAATTTAAATACTATCTTTTTGTTGTTAAGCACGAGGGCAAGCTAAGATCGTGCAATTGAAGAATTAAAATATGTGTAGGTAGAGAGGGCCTATCATAGTAACCATTATGCGATTTTGACCTTGAATGCTTCTATCACTGATCTTTTAGAGATAGACTAATCTCATTAGAGTTGTTATTTGTATTTTTTATTTTATTTTTCATTTTGTTAATAGGCTAAAATTTTGATCTGTCAGATGAGGCTTATTGTCCAGGAATTGTTGGATGTTAATTTTGGTTTTTGAGTCCTATAATTTGTTACACAGAAAAGAAGAAAGGAAAAATCTTAGTGAAGACTATGAGTAATGTTGTTGGACTCAACTAACAGTTGAGCCATTGCATCTGTAATTTCTAGCATTGAGCCATTGCGCCATTGCATTTGTATTGTAATGAACTTATAGAAAGTAGCAAATAATCTAGTCAACTGTGCAATGTGTACTCTCATCATTCCTCTTCAACAGTTACATATATTGCACCTAAATTTTCTATACAGTTAGATAAGTTTGTAAACAGTTAATACAATTCAATGTTTAGGGAGTACAGTTAGAAAAGTTGCAAAACTCTCCAAAAAAATATTCGGAAACTGAATCTTGATAAACTAATTAAAAAAAAGGGCTCAAAAACCAAAATTAATATTAATATTATAGCAACATAAACTACACATTGTTTCTCCACACAGTTACGATCTTAGGTTACCATAGAAATGTACTCGATAGTATAAAAAATTGCATCACTCTATTTTTCAGTAATTCTTAAGTTTAGAGAAATGTATTTGACTAGACATTGACTATCCAATGAATTCAAATTGAATTGCCCTCTAAATTTTTTCTTCCAAAATTTACAAATAGATGGGTAAAATCCATATGGTCTACAGGGTGTAAGGAAGACAGTAATGCCATCCAACCAACAAAGGTACAGAGTTGATTGTTAAATCAAAGCTTATCATCATGATTATATATTATCACAAAAAACTAAAAAATGAAAAGAGCGTTTCAGGAGCAAAAATTCAAAACAGCACCCGAATGACCGTGTGACTCTCATGGATAGCTTCTCCATGAAAAATAGGACTTGTGACAACTAATGGAATGTAATTCGGACCCGTAGGTAGAGAGTTAGAGCCGAATACGCCAT